GACACGTTGTCAGCAGAGTATAATCATGGCGGGTGCATAGATCCCTGAGTAATGAAAGCCTCTGTTCTCCAACAACCTGGAGGGGCAGGGATGTGAAGGTGATGGGAAGAGTCACCTAGCCCATGACATCACCAAGGATCCTAGCCCACGGCATCACCAAGTTTCCATCTCGCTCAATGAGCTATTGGCATAGAATTACCTTCGTTATATATTGAGTCCAAGGGGGCCAAGCCCCAATGAGCCATTCTGTGCATCCCACCTCTCTCATAAGGACCATCTTTATCCCCATGAGGAAACATTTAATGGGAACCTCAACAGTAGTCACCATAAGGCGGCCCCCAGGAACATCCTTCCTCGGTGGTCCAGCAGCTAAGACTCTGTCCTTCCAATGCAGGGGGCCTGGGTTTGTCCCTTGGTCAGGGATCTAGCTCCTATATGGTGCAACTAAGACCCGGTGCAGCCAAATAAATAAATATTAAAAAATTAAATAAGGCAGTCCCCAGATACCAGGACCCAGAACCACAAGTGAGGGGAGGTTTTCTCCTTGGAGAAGACAAGCAAGGTGATGGAAAGAACACCAATCTTCTGCATTCTCCACTTTTGAGTGTCCTGAATCTTCCTGCCCCTTCCCTTTAAAAAAATTGTAGTAAAATAAACAGCATAAAATTTCCCATCCTAAAACCATTTGTAAGTGTATTAAAATACAGGGAAATTAAGCCCCTTCGTGTCGCTGTGTCAGCAACCCCCTCATCCATCACAGAACTCTTTTCATCTAGAAAAACGGAAACTGTCCCCTTGAAATGCTAAGTCCACATTCCCTCCACCCCAGCCCCTGGCTTCTTTCTCCAGGAGTTTGTCTACTTTAAACACCTCAGTTACGTGGAATCCTACAGTATTTGTCCTACTTTACTTAGCATGATGTCCCCCAGGCTCATCCAGGTTGTAGCATGCCAGAATTTGCTTCCTTTGGAAGCTGAGAAACAGTTCATTGTGTGTATATACCACCATTTGTTTACCCATTCATCTACTAATGGACCTTCCACTTTGGGGCTATTGTGAATTAGCTGCTACGAACATGGGCGTATCAATAAAAATACCTCTAAGTTCCTGCTTTCCATTCTTTTGAATATATATCCAGAAGCAAAATTGTTGGATCCTGTGGTAGCTCTCTATTTACTTTTCTGAGAAATCTCTATCCTGTCTTCCACAGTGGCTACAACATTTTACATTTCCACCAACAGTGCACAAAGTTTCCAATTTCTCCACATCCTTGTTAACACTTGTAATATTCTGGGATTTTTTTTTTATAGTAGCCATCCTGATGGGTGTGAGGTGATGATATCTATCTGTAGTTTTGATTTGCATTTGATGCTGGGAGGGATTGGGGGCAGGAGGAGAAGGGGACGACAGAGGGTGAGATGGCTGGATGGCATCACCGACTTGATGGACATGAGTTTGAGTAAACTCCAGGAGTTGGTGATGGACAGGGAGGCCTGGCGTGCTGCGATTCATGGAGTCAGAGTTGGACATGACTGAGGGACTCAACTGAACTGAATGGTTAGTGAGTCTCCCTAATTCTCCAAGCCAAGTTTCAACAATATGTGAACTGACAACTTCCAGATGTTCAAGCTGGTTTTAGAAAAGGCAGAGGAACCAGAGATCAATTGCCAACATCTGTTGGATCATCAAAAAAGCAAGAGAGTTCCAGAAAAACATCTATTTCTGCTTTATGGACTATGCCAAAGCCTTTGACTGTGTGGATCACAGTAAATTGTGGAAAATTCTGAAAGAGATGGGAATACCAGACCACTTGACCTGCCTCTTGAGAAACCTGTAAGCAGGTCAGGAAGCAACAGNGGAAATCAGTCCTGAATATTCATTGAAAGGACTGATGTTAAAGCTGAAACCCCAATATTTGGCCACCTGATGCAAAGAGTTCACTCATTTGAAAAGACCCTGATACTGGGAAAGATTGAAAGCAGGAGAAGAAGGGGACGACAGAGGATGAGATGGTTGGATGGCATCACCGACTCAATGGACATAAGTTTGAGTAAATCTGGGAGTTGGTGATGGACAAGGAGGCCTGGTGTGCTGCAGTCCATGGGGTCGCAAAGAGAAGGACATGACTGAGTGACTGAACTGAACTGAACTGAGTGGTTAGTTATGTTGAGTTCATCTTTCCATGTGCTTATTGGCAGTCTGTATTTCTTCTTTGAACCTCCCTTGTTTTTGAAAGGAGGAGCTGGTGGGACCTTGAAGGGTCACTGGGCTGCCTCTCCTCATCCCTGTGTGTCTCCTTGTCTCTGCGTCAAGCCTTCTCTGGGCCCTGGGGTCTTGGTCCTCAGCTTCGTACCCTCTGCTTTCCTCTCTGATTTCCAAAAGATGGAAGGAAGCTCCACTGTATCTTGTGACTCTGCTCCACATCACTTTTCAGCTTAGCTTTCTCTCTCTTATTTCTGCTTCTTCTTTTCAGCCAGAGGTGCTCTGAGCCCATGAGGCTGGAAGAAACACTTTCCGCAGCTTCTTGAATGAGTCATCTCAGCTTGTCCACATAGCATCTTCACTCAAAACCTTCTCCTGTCTCGTCCTCCGTCCTGAGCTCCTTTTCTCATCCCCGGACCAGCAGTATGAGGAAAACCACAGAAGACCTAGCTCATTTTCCTCTCATTAATGTCAGTTAGGAAGGGGGAACCTAAGAAACGTGGCCTTTCCCCCTTCTCACCAGGCACTCTTATCTCTGCATTTTCCTTCTCAGACTGTCTATCGACTAGCCACTCCCCTGATGCAGGACACATCCAAGTTCAAATGTGTTTAATACTCAGCTCTGGGTTTAGTGCTTCAAGAGTCATCTAAGTCCAAATGCTGCATTCTTGTTCTTCTGGAATTCAAGAGTTACATTTACAGCTACTTTGCATGCCCAGGAAATTTCTCCTAAACACCTAGAAACATCTCTCACAGACAAGGCATAATTTGTTGTTCAGTCACCCAGTCATGTCTGATTCTTTGCAACCCCATAGGCTTATCTTCACTTAGAAAATAATCAATGGGACCAATAAAGATGAAAATACATCATAAGGAAATTTCCTGGTGGTGTAGTGGACAGGAATCCACCTGCCAATGTAGGAGACATGGATTCAATCCCTGGTCTGAGAAGATTCCTCATGCCGGAGGGCAACCAAGCCCATGAGCTACAACTACTGAGCCTGCGGGCTCTGGAGCCAGTGTGTTCTACAGCAAAAGAAGCCACGCAATGAGAATCCCGAGCGCCATAATGAAGAGTGGCCTCCACTCACTGCAACTAGAGAGAGCCTGCACGCAGCAGCTGACTCAGGACAGCCATCAATAAATAAGTAAATAAAAACCATGAATTTGAAGTGTCTGGCATGTTTGTCGCACCTTGATAAATACTCTTCATGCCAGTAGGATTTTATTTGATAACTACAAATAATCCCTAAAATTGAATAACATGCTCCAGTTTAACCGGCTTTCTCGTGCTTTAGCTTACTCAATCTCCATAGCAACCACATGAGACAGTCATTGGGCCACTAGGAAGGATGCCAATTGCAAGTCATCTTTAGCCTTGAGATATTTCTGTGCCAAGCAGTGGCTATCAGTAAGACTTTAAGCTCTTCAAGCTGTGTTCTCTCTTTTCCCAGAGATCATGAATGGTGGAGACTGAGGGAACTTTTCCAATTTACTTGTGGCCAAAGGCATCCATCTCTTCATATGGTTATCTTTCAATTGTCTATCCCCTGCTTGCTGTGACTCAGATGGTAAAGAATCTGCCTGTAATGTGGTAGACCTGGGTTTGATCCTTGGGCTGGGAAGATTCCCTGGAGAAGGGAAAGGCTACTCACTCCAGTATTCTGGCCTGGAGAATTCCATGGACTGTAGAGTCCATGGGGTCGCAGAGTTGGACATGACTGAGTGACTTTCACTTTTACAGATCTGGGTTTCTTAATTTTTTTTGTGTTGCGGGTGGTTTTTGTCACTCCTTTCTGCTCCTTCTTCTCCTTCTCTTCAGCAGTAATAATTTCTATTAGAAGTTCCCTTTTTCTATCCATTTACACCATCTCTGAAAGACATGAAGGAGAACTTAGTTAACTGACCTACAGTTCAAATTTAGGCAGCCTATCTTTTCTGGAGAGAGAGAACAGAGATCAAACAGAACAAAAATCTGTTTGATCACATAGCATTCATTCACTGTTGAGATTCCTAGAGGAATATTTTCCGACAAATAGTCAACTCTCACATAATATTCATGGCACTTTGCTCCAGGTACCCCATGAATACCAAAATCCACAGACGCTCAAGTCCCTTTTATAAAACATCATAGTATTTGCATATAACCCATGTGCATCATCCCCCCACACTTCAATCATCTTTAGATTACTCATAATGCCTGATACAATGTAAATGTTATGGAAATATGATTTCCAAATATGATTGCTAGCATATGATAAATTCAAGTGTTGCCTTTTGGAACTTTCTGGAATTAAAAATTTTTTTTTTATTTTCAGTGAAGCCACAGATGTAGAACGTATGGTTATAGAGTCATGACCATATGAAGAAGATAAATCTTTACATCAAGAGTCCACAATAGATACAGATGCTACTGTACTTTTGACGAAAATATAAGATGTTTTGATCAAGCTACTTCTCTGAAAGGAAAGATTGGAAGTGGATGAAATTTCCAATCCTGTAGTAAGCACAGGACAGGCTAGAGTCAGGATGAAAATGCTCATCCTTGCTTCTGCAGAAAGAAATCTGTAGGCACTTGGAAACCCTGCAGAACTCTTCAGAGGTTTTCTGACCTCAGATGACCCACACATGGATGTTAGACATAGAATCCTTTCTTTGCCAGAACAGATAAGGGAATGATGAAATGTTCATCAGAGGTGAACTCACTGCCTTGTGGACAAAGGAAGTGATGTAATGGGGATTCAACTCAAATAGCTTTGGAACATTCTGGAATCCTTTGACAGAATGGAAACCTCAACTAGAAAAGTGAACTCAGGGAAGTTCTGAGTCTATGGTTTTACAGATACCTTTACACTCATGGTTTTCAGCCCTTTATCTCCAAAACCAAACACTGACACCAAATGTCAGGGACTATTTCACAATTTCAGTTTCTTTTTCAAGACCAACATCAGCAGCTCACCTCTGAGCAGGTGAGTGCCACTGCTGGCCCCTGAAAAGACAGAGGTGAGAGGTTGCAAAGGTTGTGTGTGGCTCTACTTTGTTGTTGCTTTTCATGGTTTTTTAAGGCAATCAAGCACAGAAAGAATACACTGTGAGATGCTTTCCCCAAACGTTATGTAGTGCACAGCTGGGTGGGTTTTTCTGACTCACCTTGTCCTTCCTCCAGCAGATTCCAATCCCTTGATCCTGGCTCTCTGTAGGCTCCACATGGTCAGCCCTCTCAGCTCAGGAAGGAAGAGTAGCTTCTCACTGGACCTTTGCTCCTCTCCTTCCACCCTCCACCCAGAGCCCTGTGTCCTCATCCCCTCACTACTCCTCCTAAAGTTTGTCCTGTCTCTTGCTTTTTCTTTAGGTCACAACTCACAGCTTATTAGATTTGTTAACACTGTAGGTAGTTAACACTGTAGGTAGCTGTCTTACAAGAGCTGCTGACAATCCAACCTACCAAGCGTGGGTGTATGTTTAAGCCACATTTCTGTAACGCGTGCATGCTAAGTGGCTTCAGTCATGTCAGACTCTGTGACCCAATGGCCTCTAATCCGCCAGTCTCCTCTGTTCATAGGATTTCCCAGGCAAGAATACTGGAGTGGGTTGTCACACACGCCTCCAGGGGATCTTCTGGATCCAGGGTTGGAACTAGTGTCCCTTAGGCCTCCTACACTGGCAGGTGGGTTCGTTACCACTAGTGTCCCCTGGAAAGTCCTGTGGTTTGCAATTCTTTGTGGAGAAGAAAGGCACAGCTTGTCCAGAGAGTGTGGACAATTTAACTGTGCTACACTGGGGAGTGGAGTAGACAGCTTGCAAGACAAGATCCATAAAATTAGACCTGGACCATTTCTCCCACTTGCATTCCAATCACCACATGACTCTAATGACCTATGACCCCCTAATCTAAAACCTTTGTAAAACAGACATTTTTTCCCCTATCTTTTCACTCAGGGGTGCTACATTTAGGGATTTATTTTAACAAAGAAGAAGTGGATGTGTTCAGAACTCTAGGACTCTTCTTTGATTTTTGAATATTAAGCCAACCTTGCATTCCTGAGATACAACTCACTTGGTCATGGTGGGTAATCCCCTTTACATGTTGCTGGGCTAGGTTTGCTAGTATTTTGTTGAGGATTTTTGTATCTATTTTCTCAAGGGATGCTGTTGTTCAGTTGCTCAGTCGTGTCCAACTCTTTGTGACCTCATGGACTGCAGTACATCAGGCTTCCCTGTCCCTCACTATCTCCTGGAGTTTGATCAAACTCATGTCCGTTGAGTCAATGATGCCATCCAACCATCTCAACCTCTGTCACCCCCTTCTCCTCCTTCCCTCAATCTTCCCCAGCATCAGGGTCTTATCCAGTGGGTCAGTTCTTCACATTAGGTGGCCTAAGTATTGGAGCTTCAGCTTCAACAGTCTTTCCAATGATTTCGGCATGCAGTTTCCTATTCCCATGATATCTTTTTGTCTGATTTTGGTATCAGGGTAATGCCATCCTATAGACTGAGTTGGGATCTGCTTTGACTCTTGCTCCTCCCAACCAGTTTTGATTCAGTAGCTAGAGTAATGTTTTAAATGTAATCCAAGTCACTTCTTGTCCTGACCACTGTCTCAAATGGCTGCCCATCACATTCACCATCCAGACCACTTATCAGGGACTCCAGTACCTAGATCTACATGGGCCACTTGGCCTTTATCTCCTGCCACCTTCACTCATGTTTCCTTTCCTGTAGTCACACTGTTCTTTCCAAAGTTCTTCCAATCCACCATGCTACTATACACCTAAGGGCCTTTTTCCTGCCTGTTCCCTCTGCCTAGAATGCATGGCTCCATCCCATCATGCAGGTATCTGTCTAAGCATCACTTTCTTAAAGGCCTTATCTGAAGGGATCAGTAACATAGCCTTCATCCACAGTCAATTTCTGCCCACTACTCTGCTTTATTTTTAAAAAACACATTTGAAATCACATTATTCTTTTTTTTTCCATTTATTTTTATTAGTTGGAGGCTAATTACTTTACATCATTGCAGTGGTTTTTGTCATACATTGAAATGAATTAGCCATGGATTTACATGTATTCCCCATCCCGGTCCCCCCT